TCCTAATGAATCCTCAGAGGGGTACAGGGGCAGATAAATGTTTGCTAAGCAGTGTGACTGGGTGAGAGTGTGGGTCACTGGGCAAGTGTGAAAGTCCAAGAACATGGATAACTGCAGGTCATCAACCTGACATTTGCTATAACAGCCATAAATTCTGCACGCTGTCCAGGTTACTGATTAATCATGCTTTTGCCTTTAGCACAGATATCCTTGATACCATTGAGAAATCAAAATTCCACTGCCCAGGGTATAGTGCAGAAAGATTTATTTTTTTAAAAAGTGTGATGTACGAATGCGAGACTCACAAGATGAGAGCAAATGAATCTGTTTGCTGCAAAGTTAAGACAGTACTTACACAGTGTCAGAGTCTCAGTTCAGTTCTTCACACACAACCCAGTTGCAGGCCTCTAATAAATCCATCAGCCTGGCACTCTGTTATTTTTCCCAATGTTTGCAGGCTTCAAGGAAACAGGATTCCTTTCCTATTTTCAGATTGTGTTTTATCTGCTTTCTCCCATGCTTCCCAGGGCTCTTCAGACCTGCTGTTTCCTCACAAAACTGTTTATGGGTGGCATAACTTTGATTCCATTGAATTCATTGGGAAATTTAAAGCCCAGAATCACAGAATTATTGAGGTTGGAGGGGATGCTAGAATTTGTCTGGTCCAATCCCCCTTTCAAGCTGGGCAACCAAGAGCCACTTGTCCAGACAGGTTTTGAATATCTCCAAGGACTTACAAACTTATGTGCTCCTACGTAGGGAGATTCCACATCAACCTGTGCCAGTGCTTAGTCACTTTCACAATATAAAAGTGTTTCCTAATGTTCAGAAAGAACCTCTTGTGCTTCAGTGTGTGCCCAGGGACCTTGGTCCTGGCACTGGGCACACAGTGAGAAGAGTTTGGCTCTGACTTATTTGATCCTTCCCCCAGGTGTTTTTACTGATAAGATCCCCCTGAGCCTTCTCTTCTCTAGGCTAAACTCCCACCTCTCTGTGATTCCTCATATAAGAGATGATCCAAACACTCTGGCATCTTTGTGGTCCTTTGCTGGACTCTCTCCAGTCTGTCCATATCTCTTTGGTACTGGGGATTCCAGAACTGGACGCAGCACTGGGGAAAGATGTCCTTTTTTGGCTAAGGGGGCTGAGGTACAGCCTGACTCAGGGGTCTCAGAGTCCAAGAGAGCGAAGCCAAGGGGAAGACTGGACAGAAAAGTTGTGTCACAGCCCACAGAACAGTGTTTGGAAGAGTTTTCTAGAAGAAATCTAGAACACTAAATTGCATGTGGACAAAACTGAAGGTTGTGTGAGGTGAACTGCCTCAAGACTGAGCCCCTTGTCCTTCTCTCCCAAAAGTGTCACTGTCGCTGCAGAGACATGACCAGAGGCAGAGGAGGGAATGGAGGAACTCCCCAGGGAATGTGGCTGCAGTGACCTAGAGGAAAAGAGCCCTGGCACATGGCTGGGAGATTGGGAGAGAGTCTTGAGCAAGCCTGGCTCACCCTGAGCCTGCTGCTGTCCCCAGGGGCTCTGAAGGAGAGACCAGGACGTTTCACCTAGCTGGAACATGTCCTGGGAAAAGTCCAGGGCCAGTGTCCAGCTGTGCTCCTTCTACTTCACCTTTCCCAAGTGGGTAAAAAGGCACTGAAAAATGTTGAGTTTTCCACATATATCTGGAATTTAACTAAGCAGCAAGGAACTGAGAGGAAGTTGAAAGGTGAACATTTTGCAGGAGGTTTGAGAAGAACAGAAAGAGCTCTCCTTTGGCAAGAGGAGACATATTTTGTTAATATATTTTGAGAAAAGGTTGATCCCAGCAAGAGAGAAAGAAGATATCCCCAAGAAATGTCAAACAAATACAGTTGGTCGTCTGATCATTCAGTTAATGCATTTATTCAGCAACAGATTTGAGCACAAATATTAAAAGAAATTTTGTAAGCAAATATTCAGCCATTGGCTTTCAAATAAATTTTCCTTTCAGTAATGAAACACAAAGATACTGCTCTGATGGAGGTAGGAATAGAGAACTGTAAGACAGCCTTCAAAACTGTGGTCACCCACTGGTATTCTGAAAAGGGGTGACAGTAAACTTGACCTTTAGTTAGTTTAAAGAAGATATCATGAACTTTTTTACTCATTAAAAAAAAAACAAACAAATAAAAAGACCAAACAAAAAACCAAAAATCCCACACCCTCTTATTTAAGCTCTTTTAATTTAAAAACAAGTTAAAGTGAGAACAAAGGTAAGACAGAAAGTGTTGAGCAGTTGTTGGAAGGGATAAAACATTGCCAGTCTTTTATGAGAAAGAAAAGAAATGTTGATGATTGTGAGCCCCCAATTTAAAATAGTTGTACTTTAACTTTTGTTTACTTTTCAGTCCCATCCTTTAATCTCATCCTCCACTCTGTGTCTTGTTTAACTCCTTACTTTCCTTTTCTGCCATTGTAAGGTTTCCTCAAAAGGGTTCTTAGTAAAATATTTTAAGCTTCTGTCTTTTAAGTGTCCAGTCATATATTACATAGAAGTTGGAACTAATTATTAATGAAGCTCTGCTGATTCAAAGCTTTGATTAATTGGGAAATAACCAACCAAAGAAAATACCCTAAGCCAGAGAATCAAATGCCACTGGCATCTGCAATATGGAGATGAGCAATTAGGGTACTTTGGAGAAACAAACTGTATACTTCAAGGGCACAGTCACATGAAAAAAATAACATTTAAAGCTCTGATTAGATGAAGGGATTAATCTTCCTACTCAGTTTTTTGAGAGAACCTAAGGGACTGATTTCTCTGAGGGAAGAATATTCTGAAAAAGAAATTCAGGGACAATAACGAGTACTTAGAGGATGAAGGGATGGAATACTTTGGAAAGATGATAAAGAGAACTAGAGAACAAAACAGTATAGTTCATTTTTTCCTTTTTGGATTTAAAAAAAAAAAAAGAACCCTAAATGTTATTATTGAGGGCATCATTCACCAGGGAAAGTTTAGGTTAGATATTAGTAAAAAATTCTTCACTGGAAGAGTGGTTGAACATTGGAACAGGCTGCCCAGGGAAGCAGGGGATTCACCATCCCTGGAAGTGTTCAAGAAGTGAGCAGACATGGCATTGTTAATGTGGCTTACTGGCCATTATGAAAATCCATCCAAGGCTGGACTTGTTGATCTTGGAAGTATTTTCCAACCTTAAGGATTCTATAATTCAAAGATTTACTGCCAGTGGGTGACCATCAGGTACTCCTGTGTGGTCAGCACTCAAAACTAGTGAAATTACCTCACCCCCTTTAAGGTGAGTGTAAGACCTTCTGAACTCCCAAGTAGGAATTTGAGGGGTGAAATTCATGTATTGAAGGTAAGATTTTTACAGGCTGTCCACAGATGGAATCTTTTTCATTTACTTCAACGCTTCATAAATTATGCACAAAATACTTTAAAAATCTTTACAAATGCGACATTTACATTGTTAAATAGTTCCCCAGTTTTTACAAAAATGAATGTGTGACAGCTTTGGGAGGATAAAGGACGTCTTACAGCCAACAAGGTAGAAGAGAATCAGTCATTGCACATGTGCAAAAGAGCTTATCTGGACTAAAGTGAGATGCAACAAATGTATTTTTATTCATGGATAGAAATCTGACATATGTAGCAGTATACAGCAGGTATAACATATGGGACAGCCCTGCCTAAAGATTTCAAGGAAAAATACATCAGCAGAAATGAAAATATATGTGCTATTTTATATGATAGGAGTTTTCCCCTTAAGTCTGATAAGTAAGACTTGAGATAAGATCCTAATATAAAAAAAAAAGGATTGAAAGTTCACCCACTTTGGCCTTTTATTCAGAGACATCAGCAGTATCTTTCTGTGAATGATGGATTGAGGCACTGTGTTCCTTCTGTTTTATTTCCACTTCCCATCCATTGTCTCTCAATGGATTATCCCATGCACGAAGGCACCTCATGGAGTTCCTCCAGCTACCTCAATTTTTTGTCTCTGAACTGAGCAGCCACTGTCATCACTTCTCCAATTAAGTTAATTTTTCTTAATTTAGCTTCAGTTTTCTTCTTTTTGCTTTCACTTTCAGGAGAAAAAGTGACATCAGAGTCAGTGACTCCCCCCATGGAAGTTCTCTGCCAAGCCTTCTGTAGGTTGAGCGCAGTTTCTTTCCAATCAGTTCCAAAGGATTCATATTTTTTCTGGAGCTGGCATAAGTTCAGGTTATATTTCTTGACATTAACACTGCTACAAACCACTTATTACTGTTGAATAAATAGAGTAAGACCTCTTATGCAATCACTTGTTTTTCATAGCTCCTACTGAGCTCCTTTATTATGTCCTTAAGACTAACTAAATCTATGACAATAAATAAATCTATGACAATAATGAATTTTTTTACAATTTCACTTTCTTTTCCCTTTCAATAAACATATTAACAATGACTCTTGATATTCATATTGCCTTATCAATCACTGTATTTTGTGTTTTGTCATAAGAATTATTTCAACATTTTGCTTCCTGTCATAATCAAACTTCAAAATACAGCACATTTTCTCCTCCATCAGAAAAGAGGACAACACACTTCCTTAAAAAGTTAAGCTGGGATACTCTGGTGAAAAGTTTGTTCGAATCCATACAAAAAAATATCAATTAATTTCTTCTTGATTACCCCTATGCAGTTGAAGGATGTAACTCAGAAATCTCACAATTAAATATATCCTGTAATAATCTTGAAACCCAAAGTTTATTACAGCAGCTATATTGCTGTCAGTGACAAAAAAAGATAAAATATAGATAATTTTAAAGAGCAGTTTGTGGTGCCTTTTTCTGATGAACAGATATATTACAAGGACCTAATTTATTCACCTGAGCTTGGCATATTGACTAAGTAATCTAAAATCAAGCTTGCTTTCTTTTAAAAAAATATATCTATCTTCAGCCTTTTCTTAAAAACCTGGTGTGGTTGGGACAATACTTGGATGTTGTTTCATTGTTTCTTAGCATTAGAAACAAAAAAGGGCATCATTAGGACAAACATTGCAGATTAATTATTTTTCTACATGGCAGCTTCAAATCTGCTGTGCTCATCACGGTGGCTGGAGTGAATTTCGGGAACAGTCTCCTCCTCTGGAACCTGCCATGAAGAACAAAAAAAAGCTCATTTAAGGATATATAGATTTGATTTTGCCATAAAAGAAGACTAAAATGTACAGAGAATGTATATATTATATGTCTGTTCATTAACATTGACATAGCCGGACATGAACCCTCAATTCTGGATGCTGAGGGACAAACTCAGGGTTTTCTTCATAGAAGGAGTTTAATTCATAAAAAATAAAACCAAAAAAACCTATTAAAATTTTCTTTAACTTCACATATTATTTGCAAGGAATGTATATTGCATATTACTTCTTGCCTTGCTTTTTGGGTTTGCCCTGGCATAAACGATAAAGTTCAGATTGCTTAAATTAAGAATACATCATCAGTCTCTGATAAGGAAGAGGGTACCTAACACAGTGAGCATGTCAGAGAGAGATAAAGACCTCCACTGTGATATCAATTTGTCTCTATTTCTGCTTTTTGTTCAAGGTTTGTCCAATGAAAAAGGCATGATTACCTAAGAAGTCCAAAAATATTTGTGAAGGTGCCCTTGATAAATTCACAACCTGAAGCAGAGCAGCATTTTTTAATTTTGAAGAGGCAGCCTTTTTGACTCACGTGTGCAAACCACAAAGCCCAGGAGAGCAGGGCTGTGGTGTCTGTGCATCCTCCAACATAATGGAAATTATAGCAGGTTGTGTCTTACCTCCCAATAAGCAGAGTCATCAAAGCAGTTCTGGTCAGATACTTGTCCCAGGAAGGGCAGCTTTAGAATAGCACCTGCAGAAAAACCAGCACTAAAGGCTTAAAAAATGAAGAAAATGACCAAATAAATGTCCCTCAGATGTGCCCTAGGCAGCCAGCAAAGTTTTCTGACTGATTTCCTCATCTACAGAAATGGCCAACCATCCTGGGACATCGGGTTAATGATTCTGAGATGTGATGTAGATGTCTTCATGCAAACATAAATAAGAGCTTTTTTTTAGTTGACCAGATTTCAGACCAAAGTTTTCTATTTCAGCCTGATTTTTTTTTTTTTTTTGTTTTTTTGTTTTTTTGTTTAGAAGTATTCACAAACACATGGCAATGTGTGACACCTCATTGAGTATGTCTTGATCTCAAACTAGTTTCTGTTCAGAATTTGAAGTGTCAGAATGTAGAGAATAATTCCTTCCAGAACAACACCTTATTATTCCTGTAGAAATAAAACTCAGTATCTTTGGAGCACTTATTCAGTAAGATACATAGAATCACAGAATCATAGAAATGTTTAGGTTGGAAAAAAACCTCTAAGATCATCATGTGCAATCCTAGACTAAACACCATCTTGTCAATCAGACCAGATCCCTGGTGTCACATCCAGTCTCTCCTTGGACACCTCCAGCAACGGGGACTCCACCAGCTCCCAGGGAAGCCCCTTCCAATGCCTGACCACCCTTTCAGTGAAAAAATTCTTCCTGAGAAACCTGAACTTCATTTGAAGACAAAAACAATGGAAAACTGCTTTTCCATATTTGAGTTTCTGGCATCAGGACCCATTATTTCAATTTTGTATTATTTATGCAAAACTGTTGATACAATTAAGTTCTCCATGGAGGAACCTCTAAATTCACATGCGTTGTTAGTCACTACAAGCATCACACTGACCTGTGAGTGCTCCTCCCACCATTGCAATTGCAAGTGTACTTCCCAGGGCAGCAGTCTGGATGGAAGGAGTAAGCAGGTGACCCTCCCTGAAAAAGGTAGAAAACCAAACCATTGCCTATCAAAAAATAGTTACACTTTGAGACTGATGATCAGGCTTACAACATTGTGCTTGCTGCATGCTGGACAAGGTGACTCATAGGAATATATCCTAGGATCTTTATGGTTGGAAAAGATCTTCAAGAGCATTGAGTCCAACAAATCCTGCCATTGTTGGGCAAGAAGGAACTCATGACTTTAATTTAGCTTTGTTTTAGGCTACAGATGAAAACATGCTCTTTGAGAGGCTACTAATGTCCTGTAAGCCATTTACTCTCTTTTGTCAAAAAGACCAGCATTTCATCTTTTTGGAGTCTTATGAGATAGTGAAAAAACCCCATTTTTCCTTTTTTTCTTTTTAAATCTTACAAATACCAGCAGTGTAATTGTAGAGTGATAATAAAAATTGTTCTGTTTGAATGGTTCAGGGTGCTGTTTATTTATGGTGTTTTAATTAATTTCTTTTTATTTGAGCTTTTAATCTGTAACAAGCTTGGCATTTTAACAGTTTGTTAAAGGCAGGAGATCAAGAAGACCCAAATTAAATGAGAATTACAATGCCTGACATCAATGATGCATTTCTGAAAAAAATTCATAATTAGATCCAAAAAAGGTAGCAAATTAGAATAGACCTCCAAAAATCAAAAATCTTCTTTCTCTCTTCTCCCTTTAACTCACCTCGTTTCCCTTTTTATTGCCGTTACAATGATGCCAGCAACACCCCCCAGAATTCCAGGTAAACCATGTAAGTTATGAACTCCACAAGTGTCTTGAATTTTCAGCTTGGATGCCATCACAGGCTGAAATGAGCGGAAATAGGAAGTTTATAGTGAGTTTATAGCTTTCCATGATCTCTAGATGGATATGCAAAAGAAAAAGCCGAAGTACAAGAATCAAATAATTATTAAAAGTCACCATTACCTGGAATTTACTGTATCTATCCTCCCTTTGTAGCAAACCAAGGGAGCTCCAGGAAAGCCAAAGAGAAATAAAAAATGGGAGCAGAGCTGAGTCCCCAATACTTACAGTCAGGAACTGGAATCCAAGGACAGAGACAATTCCAGCAATGACCCCGATGAACATGGCAGAAAAAGGGTGGATTGCCAGGTCAGCACAGGTACCCACTGCTACTCCTCCTGCCAGGGTGGCATTTTGAATGAGAACCTGCAGAGGGGACACAGAGTGAGGCAGGGGTGACACATGAGGAGCAGAGGCTTGTTTTAGGGATGAGTGTCTCTGAAGGCTCTCTTGCACATGCTGGGCTCAAACAAATAACTGCAGCTGCTGGAAAGGAGTGGGTGAAAACAGAGCTGGATTTTAGGGCAAGGGGAGAGAAGCTGGTTTGGTTTTGTCTGTTGTGCAGTTGCATTGAGATTTCCAAGGAATGGGTCATTTCCTTATAGACCTATTTTGGCTGTTGTAATAAGGTAACTCAAGTAGGAACATCTTTGGAATAAGATCCAAAAGTCCACCTGAACACTGGACTAATGTCTCAAAGATCCAGCAGGATCTGTGGACAAGAGAGAATCATCACAGAATCATTAAGGCTGGAAGATTAATAAATCCAACCGTTAAAGCAGTACAACCACCATGTCCCCGGTCTACTACACTGCTTTCCAACCCTTTCTGTGAAGAAATTTCTCCTAATATCCAGTCTAAACCTGCCCTGATGCAACATGAGGCTGTTTTCTCTCATCCTGTCACTTGGTATTTGAAGAAGAGACTAAGCCCCACCTGGTTTCACCTTTCTTTTTCAGGGAGTTGGAGAAAGTGAGAAAATGAGCAAGCCTCATTTTCTCCAGACTGAGTCTCCCCCATCTCCCTCAGCTGCTTCTCATCAAACTTCATAGGTTTTACAAGTACTATAGCTCTAATTCTGGCTGCAGTATGGGGAAAGGCTCCAGATTGCCTGGACAGATAGATGGACACTAGGAATCTGCCTACTCATCCTTATCAGAGAGGGTTGACTCGATTTAACAAGGATTATGATGTGATTCTTACCATACTGAATTTGCCTCTTTTATCCACCAAGCTGGAGAGGGCGAATGTCACGATGGTGCAGGCAGCCAAGGAGTAGTAAGTGTTGATAATGGCTGTTGCCTGAGCTCCTGGGCCCTCTGCAATGGCAGAGTTAAAACTGGGCCAAAAAAGCCAAAGGAACAGGGTACCTGGATGAATAGAAGTCAAAACAAAGAAAAGCTATTTAGTCACAAGGGCCAATACAACAGAGTGAGCTATAAGAAATGAGGACAGTGATTAATGAGAAGCATGGAATAGCTGAAATTCTGGAAGAAACAATAGAATATGCAGGAATTTTTTACACTGGCAGCTGGGATTTTGATGCATGGTCTCTTGTCAAGTCTTACTGGAAGGCTTTAATGGCCCCTTGCCCTGTCCCACTCACTGTCAGAGCTCACCACCATTGTGAAACCCCAGCCAGAACAGGAGGCATAGGCAACACAATTCACTTGCAAATCCTTTATCATCTGTCAGTACAACTGAAAGTTTTAGCTGGTGAATTGAAACAGTTCTCATGGACAGACAGATACATGGTTTCTGACATTCAATAGCATATGACAGGCACAACTCAATCCTTTCAATTATGAACATTAGTTTTGGAAATACTGCTGAAAAGCACAAGACTTAACAGAAAGGAGGTCACCACTAATGTACTGTGAAAACACATATCTAATTTCATCTTTCCATCCTTGGAAGCAAGGAAAAACTCTAAAAGTATGTGTGCCACTGAAAATATGGTGCATGGATGAGACTAAAAGGAATTTGCCTCCAGAAGTGTACTTAGGAAAATGAATGTAGTATAATAATAGGTAATCAGGAAAAAATAGAGATGGAAGAGGGATGAACAGCTGGTCAGCTCTTGATATCACTTCACTTACCAATCATGGCAAACAGGTCTGAGTGATAGGTGGATTCATCATTTTCATGTTTGTTTGTCAGACCAGGACGGTACAAGACGAAAGCTGCAGCCAAACCAAAATAAGCTCCAAAAGCATGGATAGTCATCGAAGCTCCAACATCTGTGGCCTGTAATAGGCACCCAAAATAATGCCACAGATTTTATTCAGCATAAAGACAAGGGTCTGATGAACAAGAAGTCTGGAGGACTGAATGGTTTAATTCTGTGGTAGAACCAGAGCCTAGCAGAAGCAAACTGGAAGTATCACCAAGTGAAAGCACTTGTTATAAAGAGAAAACAATGACAGCTAAATAGTTGTACCTTGAATACTTCGGTAACTAGGTGCTCATTGCATGCAAAGATGGTGATCTCCAGAAGAGTCAGGATCAGCATCTGAATGGGACTTGTTTTCCCCAGGAGTGCTCCAAATGAAATCAAAGCAGTTGCTGTACTGAAGTCTGCATTTATCATGCTGAAGAAAAAGAAAAAAAAAACAACAAAAAACCCCCAAACACATAAAAAAATTAGTTTAAAAGCTCTAATATCAAACATGCCATTAAAATGATATCATAAAAATTATAGAGCTTTAAGTCTTCAGATACAAAATTTTCAAGCTCATCTTCATGGATAAAAATTAAATCAAACCTTTCTAGATGGATCTTGTAAGAATCTTACCAGCTAGTGAAGAAGGTTTCCTCCTGCTTATACCATACATGTCTTTAGCTGGTTGAAATGATGATGAAAAGGCAGATGACAAGTGTATTGGGATATGCTGGGATGTCATGGAATCACAGAATAATTTAGATTTGGAAAGGTTCTTAGACCATTGAGTCCAACCTTTCACCCAGCACTGCCAAGTCCACCACTAAACCATGTCCCTCAGTACCACATCTGCAGGTTTTTTGAAACACTTCCAGGGATGGTGACTCTACAGCTTCCCTGGGCAGCCTGTTCCAATGCCTGAACACCCTTTCTGTGGAGAGATTTTTCCTGATATCCAACTAAATCTTCCTTGGTGTGATTGCCTCTTGTCCCTTCAAGCCATTTCTTCTTGTCCTGTCCCTGTTCCCTGGGAGCAGAACCCAACTCTTCTCCCCTCCTGTCAGGGAGTTGTGCAGAGCCAGAAGGTCGCCCCTGAGCCTCCTTTTCTCCAGGCTGAGCTTCCCCAGCTCCTTCAGCTGCTCCTCATCAGAGCTGTGCTCCAGACCCTTCCCCAGCTCCTTTGTCCTTCTCTGGTTGTGCTCCAGCCCTTCAATTTCCATTCCCAACTACCAGCTAGGTTTCAAAGATGACAGTGAGGTCTTTGGTCAGGTGGTTTATATAACCCTGGGAGCCTTCCACACCTGTCTGTCTCTGTGCATCATCTTTGCATGAACTGTCAGGCAGGACCAGTGTTAAAATATTTTGGGGATTGGAAAAGGTAAATAAAACCAGAAATTGATCAAAAACTTAGAGTAGAGAGGCACTAACCCGTGGGCCCCTCTAAAAATGCCTGCCTGTAAGCATTAAGGATCTACTTGCATCATTCCTGCTTTCCCCTCAGTAATGTTTGGATGCTGTTCATTTCAAAATTGTTTACAAGTTGTCTCAGAAAACAGGACTGCAGATGTGGAAAACACTTTGAGACCTTGGAACTGCAGGGCAGGTGAATAGGAGGGGCATTAAATGTGCTTTGAGATGTTGCCCATGAGGTCTCCTATTCTGTGATCGGTGTTCAGACCCTGCTGGAGTACGATGCTCATGAAAATCGTTCCTTGAGTAGTAAGAGAAAACCTCATGTGCATAGACATGCTGCTCCAGCCTTTCTTCTGTGACCCCTTGTGTCATGGAAAGACAAATCCTTCCATGCCTGCTGGATCCAGGATGTGTGCTGTGCTACTGCTGGAAATCTTCCAGCTTCCACAGCTTCAGAGATTCAGAGCAACCTCTCAACAGGACCCACACCTCCCACACATAATGTAGCACCTCAAATTTCTTCACAATCTTTGGTTACCTTGGCCCAGTGTACCAGGAGTGGCCCCCTCAGAGGTGAAGGGAAGAAGGATGTGGAGAGGTGGACAGTAAATCTTAATGAAATTTAGGACCCCTTAGATGTGGTTTATGGCTTCTCCTGATATCTTTAGGGATAGAAATACCAATTTTTGTAAATTCACATATACCTTTTGATGTTAATAGGAATTTTCCCTTCTTTCATGTGCCAAAATCCTTGCATAAGAATTCCCCACTGGAGACCGAAGGCGGCAATGAGCATGTTGAAACCAACACTGCTGAATCCATATTTCTTCAGAAAGGTCATCAGGAAACCAAATCCAACAAATATCATCACATGGACATCTTGAAAGTCTGAAAGGGAAACATGTCTATGTAGAGACTGTGAAGAGTGACTGTGAAGGGTGACAAGCCAGGGACAAAGGCAGCCTGAGTAGAGTTCCAAACTCCAGTCATGCATGTGATCCATTCTTCCCACTTCATGGCCAGACTGCCTGCTGAAAACTGAATGTCTGAAAATGCCACACCTGATTATTGATTATATTGATATCATTATGGGAAGCCACTGGATCTCTATAGTTGCAAATTTACTTGTGTCTGGCACTGTCCTCTCTTTCTCTCTCTGGAGAGATCAGAGAGAGAAAAAGAGTTCTGTTCTCTCTGGAACATCATCACAGCTTCATGTCCTTAAAGAACATTTATGTTCCCCTTCCAATAAAGGTGGTCAGAGGCAGTGTGTTCTGACTAACTCCAAAATTGTATATGGGATTTGTTTGGGTGAGTGTGAGGTGTGCCAAGTTCAAAGGAATGCTTGAGATCTCTAAAAATTACTGTCCAAGACATTGATCTTTTTGCATGGATAAAAGAAAAATCCATTTTAAGGCAAAGTTTAAATTTAAATTAAATTAAAAGTTGATATATTATTGATATATAATTAAATTAAATTAAATTAAAATTAAAAATTTATATAGTTAATCTACAATATAATTAATCTTCATTCAAATATTTGGTTGGTTTTCAAATATGAAATTTCTTAAAATATGTATGGTTAGTTATTTTTCTACTTTTTAAAGTTATTACTTTAATTTTCTTTTTTTGTGCTTTTGGTACAGAGTCATCACCACAACAGGGATACTTTTTATTTTAAAATGTTTTCTTTTTACTTTTAAGCTTTATGTGATTTAATTAACTCTAAACCGGACTGGTTTGAGTCCTGTAATTACAACTTTTTGTCTGATTTTACTGTTAATAAGAACCTCCAATACAGAGAGATAATTTTTAAAACTTTTTTTTTCTTTGCTCTTGCATGCCAAGAAGCGTGAAAATCTTGATCTTGTTAGTGTAACATTTGGCTTGAAGTTGCAATTCCCATTACCTGAAGCATTCCTCAGTTTTGCATTACCAGGCTTAGCCAAAAGAGGGCCCAGAAGTATAAGAAGTTACTGGGGATTCCTAAAAAACTCTCATATTTGCAGTGTCATATTCCAGCCCTGCCCTAGCACACAGTAATACAGTAATGCAGAAATATGCAGCAAGAGCCTTGACTTTGCATTTGAGAAACAGCATCGTTGGCTGGCTTGGGATTAGATGATAAACTTTAATGTCCCTTCCAACCCTGACTATTCTATGATTCTATAGAAATGCAGGTGGTTCACAAACATCTCCAACCCTTTTTCTTGCTTCTCAGGCTGGACATTTTAAAGCTGTCTGGACTTATTCACATAAATAGTTTAAAGTCCTGGTTAAAATTAGGTTAATTCATGGGTGTTGAGGACAAATTCCTTCTAGTTTAGCATGTACCTTGAACTTTAACTATCTCTTATGCATGATTTTAAAGAAGAGTAGGTCTGGAGTGATTAAATGATGAAGAAAACAGCATGGTTTGAACAGAACTGTTTTAGTAACTAGTTGTGTTTGATAAAGTGTAGCACTTCTGTGAGAGACGAAAGTAAAGATTGGGACAAACACTCCAGCAGATCCTGAACAAAGCCACTACACAGATTTCTGCAAGGCTGGCCAAGACCAGCATATTAACTCCACTGCAAGGTGGTCAGTCTCAACACAAAGATGTTTGTGAATACTGTAAAGCTGATCTTGCTCAGCCTAAAGTTGTAAACCATAGAACCCTGAACAAGAGGGATGCATAAGTTTCTCTAGGCCATGAGTCATGGATACTCACAGGACAATGAAGGATGCCAAAAAATACAGGATTACGAGTAAAATCCTCTTGTAGTGCTCTAAGAGCCATCACACCCCCTTGTTCTCCCATTCCAGTGGCACAACACACCTGAAGTTGTCCATCCAATTTGCCATGCCTGTACTTGTGTCCACCAGAAACAGATATAATACAAAGCTACGCTTTGGGAATGATCTCAGCTGAGCCCTCCTTACCTGAGTGCAAATCTATGCTGATCCTCCACTATTATTTTCATTTTTCTTCTGTCCAAAACCACTGAAACAGCTTTCATTCATGGTGCTAAGGTGTCTAAGGCATTCAAAATCAGGCCTTGCACTGCAGTCCTGAGAGTATAAATTACCTCCTGGATGAAAGAACTAAATCTCAGCTACAGATGGGTTAACATCCTGAGGCATAGCATGGGAAGCAGTTTGAGGCCATCATTTTGGGGACTCAAGGGAAGTCCTGGCTCAAGATTTTTCCTATACAACCTATACAACCATAGTATTAAATTTCTGCCAAGTCTGCAGGCAAACTGCACTTTTGTTTGCACTTTGTACTGGTATAAATTTCAGAGTAAGGGGTCCTAAAAGTGAAAATATAGGTATTGCAAAAATCTGCTTTTATTCCCATTCTTTATTGGGAATGACCTCTGTGAGGTCAGCATCTGAAAATTGAACATGACATTGGTGGTGTTTGTTTGGTTTATGTTTCTACTGGTAATCTGAACAGCCTGGTCAAAAGAAATACATGTTCTTCTCTCCTAAAACACTGCTACCACCTTAAAAATAGTCCTTTATCCAAGTTATGCCTAAAGCCATGCCTGACAGGAGGTCAAGGGCCCAGTTTGCATGAGCCTAAGCCATTTCAGAGGGCTGCTCACAGGTGAATAGTGAGGACACCGAGGGACAAGTGTGCAGGAATAACACAGTCATACACTGCCTGTGCAGGGAGGCATGGGAGACTGCAGGAAATTTCTCCTACACATTTTAGACACTGATATTAATGAAGAAATAAGCATAGGTGATCTCTGACTGGGTAGGTTACATTTAAAGACCTATAATGTAGTGTTAGTACAATTACCTGTGCTGTCAAATTATTCATGTGAGTTTTGGCACAACTTTTGCTTAGGCCAACAATCACCTCCTGGGTGGCAGTGGATCAAGAGTAATTCCCAATACACTGTCTTGATACGGCTACCTAATTTAGGAACTTGGATGGTTCAATGCATTTGGGATAGTTTAATATGACACCAGCTAAGAGAGCTGCATTTGCTCAGCTTGGAGAAGAGAAGGCTCTGGGGAAACCTTAAAGCACCTTCTAGTACTTAAAGGGGCTTATTAAAAATTGGGAGAGTGACTTCTTAAGTTGGAAGATAGCGACAGGACAAAAAGCATCAATTTAAATTAAAAGAGGAGAGATTTATATTGGGTATTATGAAGAAATTCTTCCCTGTGGGGGTGCTGAGGCCCTGGCACAGGGTGCCCAGAGAAGCTGTGGCTGCCCCTGGATCCCTGGAAGTGTCCAAGGCCAGGCTGGACAGGGCTTGGAGCAACCTGGGATAGTGGGAGCTGTCTCTGCCCATGGCAGGGGGTTGGGGTGAGATGATCTTTAAGGTCCCTTCCAACCCAAACTTTCCTTTGGCTCTATGAACGTCATTGACATGGCCAAACTGTGTCACAGAGAGTGGGTTCTGGCACAGCACAGGTTACCATATCTCAGGGATTCTGCCACATCTCAGTGGAGCTAACCTAAATGGGAGTAATTAGCCCCTGATGTCCATCAGCTGACTTTCATCTGAAGCTGAATAATACCCTCACTCGCTGTTCTCTGACCCAGACAATGCTCTCTGTGAGAATACACAACACAAAGCTACTCCAGCCTGAGATCACATGCCCCTGTAACATCCATTGAGAGGAGAGAATGAGAGAAAAGAGGGATGCATTCAAAATGATACAGGTGCTACCTGCAGGCAGGGAATTCTGTACTCTATGATCCTTATCAAGCACATTGCAATCAGGGATTCATTGAGGCCTCAGAGCCAGAAAACAGAACAACAAACCTTCAATTCTGCCAGGAAAACACAGTTGGTAGCTCTGCAAACTTTGTTTTCTATTTATTCACAATAGTCTTATCTTTGCATAAGATAAGGAAGGGGTGAGAGAAGTAACTACTTCTGAGGCCAAGAGCTTTTTCTGGTCTTCACCAAGTATTTGCAGAGAAACAAATCAACAAAAACATTTTCAGGCTAAACCATTGCTGCCTGATGGAGCCACTACTTTGGAAGATAGCAGGGGTTTATCTACCTTGTCACCAAAACTATGGCCCTTTTTGGAGTCCAGCTTTCACAAACATTTTATAACAATGATGCATATGCAGCTCAATTTCCATATTCTCATAAGACACCTTTTCCAAACCTGCACGGTAGTAATAAAATGTTCTATTCATTTAAATTATTTAATACAGTAATCAGGATAGAAGGTCTGGCAAGAAACACCCCCATCTCTCTCTGGAAAATGCTGGACTCTTTCAAAGTAATACACAGTTCTCCAAGTCTTAACCCGATGTGCAAACCCTGGAACTATTTCCTAGGCTCTTCTCTCCCAGAACAGTAAACTTAGCAGTGAGGTACTTGCAGAATTTTATATGTGCTCAGTTTGGATTTGTCTTTGAACCTGCTGCTTTCACACCTCAGAAAAATATGTTTGCCCCAAAACACAACTTTCTTTTCCAGCTTAATCAGTAGGTCTCGTAAGTTATTCAGAAATCTTGCTTATGATCAGTTTAAAGAAATTTCAGCTTGTATAAATCTTAGGCAGAAATACTTACGTGGGTATAACTCTATAGCAGAAGGATTTTTGTCATATTCCACAAATATCCCATACAAAACAATGACAATCACTTCAAGAAGAAGCGCCAGGATGGAGAACTTGAACTTCATGTTGGTGTCAAAGTCTGGAGGCATTGCTGGAGAGCAGCTGGCTGTGAGAGCTTGATAATGGGTGTTTGCCTTCACAGGAGCCGACTAATTCCGTGGATCTGGGTGATATAGCAAAAAAAAAAAGAAACAGAGACGTGAACACACCGTCACACCCACTATGGGAGGGAAAAAGTACAGGTCAATATAGTGATTTCCATTTCCCAGGGTACTTCTGTGTGTGAAATGCTGGCTTGCATGTGGGTTTGTTTTTTTTTCTTCCAGTTTGTAATACAAACCAGCTCGTTCAGCCACAGTTGTACTTCTCACTGACTATATGTATTTTAAAAAGGAAATAGTCTTCAGGAAAATCTCACAGAGCCTGGCTTACTGCATGAAGAAAGGAACAGTAACTCTCAATTGTGTTTCCTGTAGTCTATAATATTTACAAGTTGTTGCTCTTCTTCCAAAAATTAAATAATTTTGCATTACAAATAAAACATGGAAAATCACCTCTCTTCCTATAAGCTGTGATAAAGAGAGTCTCTTTCAACAACTTGAAGTTTTTGTTTCTTTTTTTAATTTCACAGTGAAGTACTCTTTCTCAGAGCACAAATTCTCATTGTAAAGTTTTATTTAAAAAGGAAATTATTGTAGTTCTTTATATGTAAAAATGATATTCATAGTTGTTAAAAAGGAAAGCTGTATTTACTAAAAAGAAGAATTTTAAGAGAATATCTCCATTTTTAATTTTGAATGATTGTTTTTTTTTTAATATTCCTCTTAGCTCAGACAATGGAAATAGGTCAGTGACAAAATTTGTTATATGATTTTAAAAGCTTAGTTTGCAAACCTTCTCACAAATGGAGGAGTAACTTAAATTTCACTTAGTTTACTGTTCAATGATCTCTTGCTCTTGAAAGTCACATTGCTTGTCAAAATTTGTCTTGAGTCCTCAAAGTTTTGTTGATAAAGTATTGCATCTATATGAAAAAATTCATCTTTGTTAATCCAGTAGTCAGAAAACAGGGCAAAATTTACATCAGGAGCTTTCATTTAATGAAAAATTGTATCTATTGAAAAGAAGGATGATATTGTAGTAGTTGACTAATTAGTCATGAAGAAGTAGTGCCAGGGTATGGCAATAAAATGCTGTATCAGTCCTTGGGTACAAAAACCAGCTTAATAAAGAGATGCTGGGAGATGATGCTAAATTGGGCTGCTGTCCTGGTGAGATACTGCTGGAAAACTGCTCACATGCTGTGACATATAAAAAAATCATTTTTCATTCTGGTGTACAGGGCAGTGCCATGACTTTTTCTCTGTTCCCAAGTCCAGTTACCAATTCTCTAATATAAAGGTAGAGTTAGACCATTATTCAAACTGAGTTTGAAATTATCACAGCTTTTTCTCCCTAAAAATGAGTCTGTGTACTTGGAAGGGAAACCAGAGTATTTAGCAAGAAAATGCTTGTCTCTCACATAATCAAGCCTGCAAATGGCAAAGCTAAAATAAGCACATATGTGGTTTTTTTTTTTTTCCTTCATAGCATCTCTATTTCATTTGAGCAGCTGAAAGAGAGGAAACAGAGCTTTGATAAAAAGCTATCACTCATCCTTACTGCACCACAGGATAGGACACACAGCCAGGTTTGATTGTGAGGACCTGTGAGCTCCTACATTTGCTCAGGAGGTGATTAAAAAAGGACAAACTCATGAACAAAGCTCATTGTTGTTTTTTTTTTTACTCATAGCTCAGCCATGAATGTCTTGTGTATTCATTGCATAAAGTTTTTCCTAGTGAAGGTCTCACATGACATATGTGCAATCCTTATGATCTTTCAGGGGTGCAGAAAAGTTTCCTTGCTGAAATCTTATCATGAAAAAAGCCTTTTAATAGTGTTTAGAATTTAAAATGGGTCAAATCCATTCAATCAGGACTTTTTATGAGGTTCTTGTTTTATGTCTTAAATCTCATACAGGTACATGCACACACAGAGACACACAATCTGTTTTGGAAGAGTATTCATCCATGTCTTTTTCCTTTTCCCTTGGCCAAGAAGAATAACTTAGCTCTTTTCCAATGAGGTGAACTAGTGCCCAGCAGCCAGAGAAAGGCTCCTAGACATGTACAGGTTATTTACACACAAATAGGGATACTTAATAAGAAGTTATTTTCCTATATTTATGCACTCTAATATTTGTTCTTCTAAATAAATGGAACATTTCTCTCTCACCACTAACAAGGTTGAATCTGTCACAAATTATCTTCAGATATTGCCATCTTTAAGCTAAAAGGACTGACAACACAAACTGCCAGGAAGAAGGTGCTTTATCCAAGGGGTGGAGCTGGACTATTTTGCTCTCTGGACCTTTTGGTAAAACCCAGTTTGCCCTGACTTACTGCCTCGGTTTTTCCTTGCCCCTTGAGATGGGCTTTGGTGTGTGTCATATGTGGGAATGGGCATTGCTTCAGGAAATGACTGGTGCTTTGGATATTCTCAAGCCTCTCCAAGGGAAGAATTGATAATATTGAGCCATACCCTGGGTACATAAATACCCTGTCACAACATCTGTGGAGAGTACGGGACGTCTGTCCTGTTAAATCATGAAAACGTGATTTCAGCCCAACATCACAGTGGAAACTTTGAACATAGGAGGTCCTACATTTTGGTCTGATGTATTTCCCAGCAGAAGCAACTGCCATGTCAATGGCTGTCTGTCATTCCCATTTTTTTCCTGATTGCTTTGTTTCTGACACAGGCTTTCCAGGTGATGGGGAACAGCCACCTCCAACATCTCCTTTCAAATGCCTTTATGTGTCCATCCAGCTGCTGCACAGGGCAATCAAAATGAACACATCTTGAACTGTTCCTCTTTAGGAAATTTTTGTGTCTCCTTATTTGCTTTATCCTAATCCTGGTGGCTATTAAAGCAAAGGAAGGAGTGAGGGTGTTCTTTGACAAATATTGTTGCACACCTGGATCTACCAAGTAACTTTACATATTTGTCATTTAAATAGCTGTTGGATTTTTTTTTTATCCAGCTTTCGATCTAAATAGGATGTTGGTGGACAAATCACAAACTTGATGTAAATAAATGTGAACAGCTATGGCAGAGTTTCAAGCTTCTGGAAGGATAAAAATAAGAAATAAAGGGTTTCTTTGGGCAGTATTTTGCCTAAAGAATGAGAAAGAAAGTGAATTTAATAATCTTCTTACAGAATTCCTTCAAGCATCATTAGGAGTGGCATTCAACTGACCAGACACTCTCTGGTCAGTCTGCATTTCTTTACCTGATCTAACCTGCAATGTTTTCCTTTTAAATCACAGACTCATGGAATCATTAAGGTTGGAAAAGACCTCTAAGATCATGAAGTCCAGCCTTAACCCAGCACTGCCAGGTTTACCACTAGACCAGCACCACCATCTACACTCCCTCAGCACCATATCTACATGCTTTTTCTATTTATTTTCTAGAAGAAATAGAAACTTTCAAGAGCAATTGTTTTCAGGTTAAAGGAAGTTACCTAAATACCTGGCTAAATAGGCCAGGTGAATGGAAGTGCCCTTTTTGGTCATGTTTGTTGGCTGACACAAGTTCAAATCAGGTTCAGGATGTCTCCTAGAAGAGGCTGATGTTATTTAAGACTCAGAGCTCAGTTCACTGAAGTCTGAGCTACAAGGATTCCTCAGTCAATGTGGATTTACAGAGCATGTCTTGGGTGCACGCTAATCTTCAGTTTTCTTCTTGGTGTGTGTCTTGCAGACACAGCTATGGAGAGCAGGGAGGTGGAATAAGGTGCATCTTGCCTCCACACTGAGACAGAAATATTTCTTTGACCTCCTGAACTTGGAGCTGAGTTTTTTTGAGAACATTGACATTTATCCCATTTCTGTGGTGCTGCGGTAGAAATATTTTTTTCATTAAACATTAACTTCAATTCTTCAAGTCAGCAGACCCTATCTCTCCTCAAGTTGAAAGCTCAGCCAAGAAAATGCAGTTTTTTGATGCAGTCCTAAAATAGCCTCCTTCACCTTAAAGAGGGAAACAACATTCTGTGGATTTTCTGACTTTAGAGAGCAGCAATAAGATCACAGCACAGGTCAGGCTGGAAGGAGCCACAGTGGCTCATCTGGTCCCTCCTCCCTGCTCCAGCAGGGTCATCCCAGAGCACAGGACACAATATCTGGAATATCTCCAGTGAGGAGACTCCACACCCTCTCTGGTCTCTGTTCAGTGCTTGGTCACTGCACAGGGAAGAAGTTCTGCCTCCTGTTCAGGTGGAGCTTCCTGTGCATCGGTTTCTGCCCATTCCTTTTTTGTCTTGATGGGATCCCAATCACCCCCACCAGCCTCTTAGCTGATTTCTTGTGCATGTGGGTTGATAATGCAGTGTTTCTTTCTAAAATAAATATGTTTTATTTTTCCATTTGAAATCTTGCAGACTTTGTTCTCTAAGACCTTGCGTGATTACTAGACAGTATTTTTAATTTTTCCAGTACACAAAGAACATCAATGAAAGGTAACACAAGAAGGAATTAGCCTTTTTCTTTCCTCTGAATAGAATAGGCTAAATAATTACATCCAGTTAAGCTATGTTCAGCTAAAGCATGACTTGTTGAAGAGGAGCATGTTTCACTTAAAACCTTCACTCTTTCATGTCTGCTTTTATTGCATGAGTGTTACAAAAGCAGGGCTTAAATGCTGAAACAGAAACTTTTGGTGGAGGTGTATCCCAGAGTTGCAGGAAAGCTGTTTTCTAGAGATAACAGGGTTCTGCTCCCTTCTACAAGGGCCAGTGGGCCTGTCTGAACTGCTCTTGTGATAAAAAGGAACCTCAGCTAAGATGGATGTTTTACATAACATCTAGAAGCTCTACCTATTATTTTGAGAAAGCAATAAGAAATACTAGCAATTAGATGTCTGTGTTTTAGTCTCAGATGGTATGAGTGATGAATCATATATTTTTATTGGCTTTTCTTATGTTAAAGTGTTTCTCTTGCTCCCCATCAGTCCCCTGTGCTTGTAACAGGGCGCTTGGTGTGGCTGTTCCTGCCTATGTGAAATCCCCTACAGAGTCTGTTTCAAAAGGCAAGCAGGCCTTAAGTTTCTGAAAAAG